AAAGTACTCTAAACTGTATAAATAATGTAAAATTAAATTGAATTTATTAGCCAATCAGACAAACTTCTGCCTATGATGCCGAAATCAATAACTTATCGAATCGGCTGAATAACAACTGTAATAAAACTGTAATATAATTACCTCAAATTGCGACCGAGGTGACATTTGGATCGTTAATTTCGCCCAATCAGAATGTAGATGTTCAAGTAAAACCTTACATGATACACTTGTTTTTCGCCATGGGCTAACTAACTAGTTGGAGAAACAAATGATTTGGTCCCTATAATAACTGGCTATATTTTCATCACTAAAAGTTAGTGAACGCCTTGCCAGTAAATCAAAATCTTTATTGGAAGCTTCCAGTGACAAACGACTATTGGAAGTACCACCTAAAAAATTTCGCTGGCCAATCAAATTTTTAAGGTCAGGTGAAGAACCAAAAAACAGCTTCTTAACAGATCTCTCCATGCGGCTATGTAACCAATTTGAATGTATCAATATTATTCACGTTAAAAGCCATATTCATAACAATAAGATGTAAAACGCTTAGTTGTTTATGCGAAGCGTGGAATTTTGCCACAATCTTAGCCTCAAATAAACTTGAATGTGTAATTTTTTACGAAGCAATTTTTTTTTATTACAGAAAACATATTTATACACATGTAGACTTCGCAAAAACATTTCCAAAATCACGAATGCCAAGAATTTGCAGCAAATATTTTTCACAAATTTGGGAAAAATCTTTTTCGAGAATTTGCAATCAATAACAAATATTTGGTTGTTTTTTTTTTGTAGTTTTTATAAAATTGAATTGTTGTAAAATGCAAATAGTTTCTTTCTATCTCGCTTATTACAAAGTAAAAAGGAATAATTGTAATTATTATAATTATAATTACGAAAAACTCTAGGATATGAGCTCGAGGTACAGACTTCCGGCTTATCATGTTGCACTTAGTCCTGATGGTCAGAATGTTGTTACATTTAATACAGGTAAATTTTATGCTCATTGAATTCATTTGGGTTGAACGTATATTAGGAGGCAAAAAAATAATTTTATATTTGTTAGTGACTTCGGAGTTGAAAATATGTCATTTAAAAGATTTAAAAAATGTAAAAACGATAACTTATCAAGGATTTAGTACTGTAGATACTATGAACCCTCGACTATGTTGGTCAATAGCGATTTCCAATACAATTAACGTGGGCACGCATTCCGATATGTTAATTGGCGTTTCATGTTTTGATCGAACTGATACTCTAACTAAAAAATTTCCAAAAAGAAGAATTAGACATCACAAAACTAGAAGCATGTCCCTCTTCTTAGAAGAAGGTTACGCGAATGTGAGAGTAAGTCCATATACATGGATACTTTCAACATGGAATCAAGATAGGGTAAAAACTTCTGTGGATGATATTGGTGGTGTCATACGATTTCTTACTTATGAAAGTTCATCTAATGTTGATGTGGTAATAATTCATGTGTTTGGAATTTCAAAAACTACAATTGAAGGTAATTATGTAGATAAAGATGATCATTATAAAACAGATATTAAACCTGCAGAAAATTTCTTATTTCCAATGATAATTGCCAGCGAAATTGGTTGCGCAGAAGGAGCCAATCCAAATTTACAATTATTTCATAGAAGTGTTGAAAAAAATTATTTCATGGCAGAAAATTACAAATTTGATTTATTAGAGATGTATAGTCTGAAAACCGGTGAACTCTACAAAGCTTTTCATATTCGTGAGGAAACAACAGAACAGCTGTCAGCTAATGGGAACGCAATTTTTGAAATTTCCAAAAATGATGTATTGTTAGCATATTGTAGAGGAACAAACAGTGTTTCAATATATATGATGGAAAATACTTTGGAAATTGCATCAAAACCATTCCCTAGTCTTTATAGGATAAACTCAATTGATTTTGTTCATGATGATGAAAAATTACTTTTAATTGGTGAAGAAGAAAAGATTAAAGATGATGGTTCAACAGAATTAGTAGTTGTTATTTTGATTTGGGATCTTTTTAGTGAATCTGATGATTCAGTTGAAATAATTAGAGATACTCAAAATATAGTTCATGCAGGTAAAAACCATTCTACGAAATTTATTGATCATTATCATAGATTTTCTAGTGCTAGTGGATTTATTGTTGGTATTTGTGAAGAAAATGGAGATGTGTTTTCAATTGTTGATCATCCAGAACTTGAAGGTGTTTTTAATCCTTCAGTATTGCCCAAACTAGTTACATTGACACTTCAAAATATCCAAGAAGTTTCAACACCATTAGCTCAAATTTATCATTACATTTACACACAGGATGGTAGATTTTCTGATGCTAAGCAAGAACCAAAAAATGTTATTATTATTAGTAATGCGGAACCTTGGATTCGTTTCAAACAACATCCTCGTATTTCGGTCTACCTTAATAATGATAAGACACTACAAGTAATTATGGGTTTGACCACAATTCAAGTGTGGCGAAGAAATGATTATTCTAAATACAAACGAAGGCTTGAGTACATTTGGACTAGTGCTCATGGTGAAAGATTCGAGGTTCAAAGATTACTAATTGGTAATGGAGAATTCTTGGTTGAGTTATTACTTCCTGAAGTTAAACAAACATTTGAAATTCATTGGCCACATAAGTGTTCTACGTTGAGGGACGCGTGTAACGCACTTGAATATCTTAATACTCAGCAAGGCGAACCAATAACACCCAAGAAAAAACAAATATATCGAGATTTAGTTCGTCAAACAAAAAATATATTAAAAAGAATCATAAAGACACGTCCAGATGTTTGGGGGATGATGGATGCTAGATATGAAATCATGCAAACATTGATTCGTGGACAATGCGTTTCTTTGATCAGAACAATTTTGTTTAAAGAGGATGATAAAAGTCCGCATGGAATAAGTTCAAGGTTGTCAAAACATTTACATTTCCCTAGACTTTACGCATGGCCTCTGGAACCAAAAGAAAGTGATTTGCAAATAGCTATTAATTATTCTGGTGATCGTCATAAAGATAAAATTATTGTAGGATATCTCTTAAACTATTATTCAGATAACGCTATGACTAATGCTGGATGGATGTTTACCGTTACCAAAGCATTACCTGAATTATACGATCATGACATGGGTAGTATTCAATTTGATAAATGATAAGTGAAGCTAAGGGAAATTTTTAAAAATTTCATTTACGGGATTTCACTTGGCGAAACCTAGCTTAATATTAGTCGTTATAACATATTGATATCTATATTAATGTTAAATGTTAATTTAAATCTTAGAACATTACATTCAACAACTATTTTACAAACCGTGTTTCGGCGCAAAAGAAATCAAAATTGATACATCACTTATAAGTCGCAGTGATTTATTCGAAGGGCGTTTTAAGCCTGTCCACTCCTTATACATTAAACCAGGACTTTTGCGCAGACCAGAAACCAAAATACGTGATAGAAAAAGTCAAATGATTCAAGATATTACAAAGTTTTTTTCATATGAGAATGTTATTGAAGAAGTGGAAGAATTAGAAGGTGTTCTCAAAGAAAAAAAAACCGGGTATCATATTATTCTTTACCTGTGAGTTCATTTTATTGTAACTATCGTTATTAATATATTAAATGATTATCGTAAACGTTTAGGCTTTTTGATGTTGAGAAACGCGATTCCCTCATGTCTACTACCACAAATGTGCGAGTTGTTCCGCTTCCTGGTAACATCGTTTATATTTAATTAATATGTATGCTATATTAAATATTGAAATATTATTATTTTTTAGATTTTACAGTGTATCCACCAGACGTTATCAAAGATCATACCAAAACACCTTTATTACGGAGAATTTTAAAATTATTAACTTGGCCTCGTGAGTACACGCTCACAGAAGACGCACATTGTAGCCCATTTCTTCGTGTTATCTGTCGTGATAACAGTGCAGTACTGTTTAATAATCCAGCAATTGCAGCGGTAATTGATTATAAGTGGGCGTCTGCACGTGACTATTGCTTACGTCATTTTGCTCACTTCTTTTTTTTTGCACTAATATTTTCAATTATTACTGGATTAATGGAAGAAGAAATGACTTTAAAACCCAATATGAACTCTGGTTTATATGTGATCTTTCAATTGATATTTTTTTATTTGGGCTATTATTTGCTTCTTAGTGAAATTATTCAACTTAAACATGAAGGGCTTGTAAGATATTTTACTTTGTACAATTTTTTTGATCTTATATCTTGTATTGCGCCAATGTGCTTGATGATTACATCAAATATACTAGTTCTTACAAGTAGTGGTAATAATCCAACTTCCAATAAAATATATAGTATTTCATTGGCATTTATCACTCTAATGATGTGGGGAGAATTCGTATGTATGCCATTTATTAAATCCTTTTTAGTTGCTCTAATGAATATCATTAATTATACCTTTTTTTTTAGTTTTTGATGTTCCGATTCTTTAAAAGTATGTTTATTTATATTTTACTATTTATATTTTATCATATATATATATACTATAACAGTTTGTATAGAGATAGAGTTATTTTAAATAGAATATTATATTTTATTATATTGCTTATCTAGGACCCGCAAATTTTATTTATATTATCTTGAACATTTTGAACACAATTTGGCCATTCTTAGCATTTATGCTAATAGTCGTTTTTGGTATTGGTCACGCAATGTAAGTTCAATTCTCGTATTTCCTATTATTTATATTACTCTTAATATATATTTATCCTTTCATTAATTTATGTAGGTATGTTTTACTAAGAGATCCAAACCAAATTAATCTAGTTCCAAGTGGATCATCATATTCAATCTTAAATGCTTCAGATACAAATTCAGAAACCAATAATCTATTTCCCGAAATAGCCGTTTCTCAATCAATTGACGTTAATAGTGTCACTGACAATTATTTTTCTCATTTTTGGAAATCTGTTGAAAGTGTATTCTTTTGGATTAATGGAAGATGGGATCAACTTGACCAATGGGATTTTATACCTCTTGACATTTTGGCTATTCGTAAGATTTTTATTCTGTAAAGGAAAAAAATGTGTGTTGGAACGAATTTTCATTAAATTAATAATATATGTATATCATACATGTATATATTTTGAATAGTTGCAAGCATTTTACTTGTTATGATCATGCAAAATATGTTGATTGCGTTGATGACGTAGATATTTTCTTTTTTTTTTTGTCTATGAAATTTTCGTGTATAAATTAACGTTAATTTAACATAATGTAATACTGATATCTTGTAAATTCATATAATCTTAGGAATGCATTCGAAGAAGCACAATCTTCAGGTGAGGATGCAGTTTTGAGACATCGAGCCGACTTAATTGCAGACTTTGAGACCCTTGATAAACCACTTGGAATGACACGTGAAGATCGACGTTACATATATTACATAGGAAAATCCAGTTACCGAGATAATTGGCTAGAAAAAGCCGAAAATTATCAATCAACCCATCATGTCTTTCTTGATGAAGAAATTAACGAGGAGGCTAGCGATGAAGAAGATAGTGATGATGATTCTCAGAAGGAAAATGTTAGTGGAAAAATAGAAACTTCTTTGAAAGTTGAAGCAGAGACTAAATCCGGTATTGATGATTTACAAGAAAGAGTTCAAGGAATGGAAGATAAAATTGAAGAGGTTTTGAAGTTGCTAAAAAAAAGTGATTCATAATTATTTTTTGTATTTAATTTCCAAAATACTAAGATTTTGTAATGTATTTAGAAGTTTATAAATAAAATTCAATTTCTATATAATTTACTTACGCAAAAAAAAAAAAATTAAAACCGCAACTTGGCAAACAGATTTACTAGTTTGCTAAATACTTTCACGTCCAAGCTTCCTAACCTTTATGCATGAACCCTAATATCACTATATCATAATCTTCCATTACTTTAGTTTAAAATTTTAAAGACACGAACAAATATAAAATTCTAATCTTCAAGGCAGATTAATTCCGTTTAACATCCCGGTTAACATATTCATTCATTATTCCATTTTTTCACGTTCATTGAAAGTATGACTAGTGTTTTTAGTCAAAATTGTTTTAAGCTATGTAGAAATATTTTGGCTTTTGACATAAATTAAGTCTGCACTAATTGTAGTTTAAGGGCAAGGGGCACGTAGATCATTTTTATATAGTAATTTATGATTTATGTCATGGTTAGATTCTGATTTCAAAATACACGAAGTATTACTTTCTCTTACATATGTCCAATATCCTCATACTGCAAATGTCATCCAAGAAAAATTAGAAGTAATTGAAAAATGGAGTCTTAAAGGAAAGGTATATTCAATCACAACCGATAATGGGGCTAATATGAAAGCAGCAATTAATAAAATAAATGATATAGTAAGAATCCCATGTTCAGCCCATATATTACAACTTGTTGTTGAAAAAGATCTGATGCCTGTTGAAGCATTCATGGCACACGTCAAGTGATTAATTAATTTTTTCATGGCATCAAAGCAAAATGAATGACTTGAAGATGCTCAAAAAACACCCAGGCTTTTGGATAATGATGTAATGTTTAATTTTTTAATAACTAAGATACATATCACTTAAACAAAACCAGTTTATTAATAATCATTATGTCAACATAGGATTATCAATAGAAATATTTCAAACTACAATAAAATACAAACTATTCCATTTTTAAACTATAGTGGTTTATATGTTTTATTATAACTTAAAATATTTCTAGTACTTTGCAAAATCAAATCAAAATTTGAATTTGAATCAAATATTTGAAATTATTTAATCAAATAATCTCAAATATTTGATTAAATTCAAATTTTGATTTGATTTTGCAAAGTACTAATATAAAATTTCATTGATAATTCAATAATGACAAAACATTTTATGGTTTTTATGTATTATATCATAAACTATTTAATAACTAAAATATCTATTATTATAATTAATTATAAAAACTTCAACATATCTTCATGCAAAAATGAAGGTGTCCACTTATTGGAATTTATTTTTTCTTATTTGGAAATGACTTCTACTTATTAAAAATGTTATTGACATTGTTTTAGCAATATTAATTATTTCAAGTAAATCTGAAGTGAGAAAAGATATAAGAAGTTTAAAAGAAATATAATTAACTAATAATGAATAGGATTTGATGTGAGATATTGTTAATATTTTGGGTTCTTTTTTGAAATTACAGAAGTACTTGATAGTAGAGGTCTGCATTGAATTCTGCAATCCAGCCCAACCTGGTCTGGCTCACAAATTTTTTATAGATTAGGCTAGGCCTGAAGCAAAATTTTATAATTATAGGTTGGACTAGACTGAAAAATTTATAAAATTTTATAATTGCAGATCAGGTTGGACCTAAAATTTTGTAAAATTATATAAGAAATTTTTTAGGCTAGGTTAAAGAAAACATTTAATATATGCAGGTTAGAAAAAAAATTTAATCCTAAATACAGGTCAGGTCAGATTAGCAAAAAAATTTTATTACTAAATGTAGGCTAAACTAGGCTTTAAAAATAGCCAATTTGCAGACTCTTACTTAATAGTTTTAAATATGTTATATTTTTTTATATAATCCTTTTTATTTTAGAATTGATGAATAAGTTAGATTACTTTACAGACTATTCTGATAAATCAAATAACATAAATTTTAAAACTCCTAACTTAGTATTCAATGATAATATTAAATTTGTTAATACACAAAAAGAAGAAAAAGATAGTTTTAAAAGAAGAAAAATTAAAGTCTATATATCCATTGACATTACTAATATGTAACACAAAATTAAAAATGCATTATATAATGCACTCTTATACTATTAGGATTTTTCAAAGAAAGAATTATTTCTTGTATATCTTCTAAATCCAAGATTTAAAAAATTAAGATTTGCAACATCAATTCAATAACTCTAAGCAAAAGCTATACTTTAAGAAAAATATAATAATATTAAATTACTTTGTCAATCCTAATAAATCAGCTTTTAGATTTTACTAAAGAGTAACTTTTAGTTAAAAAGAACAATACCAAATTTATTAAAAAATATTCATTAAATCAATTTTTATATACAATACTATTAATAAACCAATTAATAAAATTAGTCATTATCTCTCTTTATTTAATGTTTTCTATAATTATAATTTTTTTTATTAATGAAATGATTAAAAGACCTTTCTTCCTCTTTTAAGTAAGCTTACAAAACTGTATTTTGTGATACCCACAATCTCAACTCCAAGTGAATAACTTTTTAGTAATACAAACAATATAATAACTGTTAAAAAAACAATATTAAAATTAAAATTATTTGAAAGAATGTTATTTTTAAAACGAAACTGTAATAAATTAGATAATGCTTATGATTTGATTGAATAAAATTTTGAAGATTGTTTTTTTTTTTTTTTTTTTGGTATTAAGGTGACCTTTTTGGTCCAAGCTTTTTATTAATACTTATATCGGGTACATGTTTTATATAGACATATCTATAATAAACTATTAAATAAGTATACAACTGGCTACACATATAACTTTTCTATATTACCTATTTAAGGAGTCTGCCCGAGGGTTCTTCACCAGTTGCTGTACCTAACACCTCTGCTTAGATGTTCTATTTAAACCCTCTGATCTAACCTTAGTATTAATTTTACCGGGTCACAGACCCAGATCTATTCACTATCGACCATAGGACTATAATCCTTAGACTATTTTTATCCTCGAGGTAA